TAAATGCTGGTGTATGTTTGTGGTGATGAGAAAACGAGTAATCAAGGAAAGCTGTGAGTGAAGATGCATTTAACGTGGGCCTGAATGCTAGATTGGTTCTAAATACATGGAAGGGCTTGAGTAGAGAATTCAAAAAATGTGAAAAATAAGAACTCCATAAACATGTACCAAGGCACAAATATAGTCATAAATTCTTTCTTAGTATCTACCTCTGAAGCAGACTGCAGGGGTTCTACTCCTAACCCTTGTGCTTAACAGCCGTGTGACCTTGGACAAGTTACCTAACTTCTCTGTGTCTTGGTTTCCTCATATATAAAATGAAGATAATAACAGTACTGACCTCACAGGATTGTTGTGAGGAACATATATCCATACACACAGTGCAATTGTGCCTAGCAGATAGTGAGCATTATATGTTTTACTTATTATTTCTTATTATTATTTATGCATAATAATGAGTTAGAAAAATGTGTATTTTCCGTGTGTGTGTGTGTGTGTGTGTGTGTGTGTGCATGTTGACTTCCAGCAAGCCTGCTTTTGGGTGTCTTTGGAAAATATTCTGCCTCCAGAAGTTTCCCCCTCTGGAAGGAGCATGACTGATAGAGACAGATGAGTTTGTGTTTTCACTCTCTCATCCAATCCTTCATTTAAAAGAATGTCTTGAGCATCTGTGCAGAATACAGCTCTGTGCTAAGCAGGATGCAGAAACAGAAAACCAACAGGGCGGAATCCCTGGGCCCAAGCTGCTCCTGGTCACCAGGAAATAGACATGTAAATAGACTGTTTCGATATAATCCGAAGGCTGTTTTCACAGTGATACTCAGAAATAAATGTTCAACATAAAGGTTAAGGGCATTGATGTTTGATTCAGATAGTTTGGACTTGAGTCTTCCCTCTGCCGCTTTCCTAACTGTGGCTCTGGCAAGTCAGGTGTGTCACGTGGAGATGACAGCATCTGGTACAGACAGACATTGTGTGAGGAGCAGATGAGATTGCACAGGCACGGCCCTCAGCCCACAGCCAGGGACCCACGGGCCTGGTGGTGCCTCTCTGCTTCTCCCTCACATTTCTTCTTCCCACTATGGCTGTGTGACTCATCACAAACACTCCATCTTTGGCGCCGCAGAGCGAGGCTTCCTAGAAAGGCTTGAGCTGAGTTCTAAAGGTCGAGTAGGGGGTCACAGCATAGAAACACAGCAAAGATAATGCAGGGAGAGGAAATGGCACGTGACCAGGCACATCACCCTTGTCCCTTTAGGACAAGAAAGTGCCTCTAGTCATCTGTTAGCTGGCCCGCAAAAGGGTCTGGTGCCAAATTAGGCCCACTGGTCAGTATCAGGCAAGGTTCCTCAGACTTCACAGCTCTCTCATTGCTGTGGGTTCCCCTATCCTCTCTGTCCTGTCCTTTTTGGCTGTTCTTTGAATCCTGAAATCATTTTGCTGGTTGAATCCTTCCCCACCCGGGGAAGGAAGTTTTGTGCTCCCTTAATGAGGTCCACAGAGAAGGAAGACAGGCCAAATGTCTTCCTAAAGCCCTGTTCGTGCATTAGCATGATCTAGTTGTCCTTTCTTTTTTTTCTGTTTGCATCTTGTTATTACAAGTTAAAATAGAGCATGGTGATAAAACCAGTCCCCTCAAGTATGGCCTCAGAAAGTTCCCAACCAGCAACGGTTGAAACAACTGGCACTCATGTGGGAGCTAACATCTTGCAGAATGTTTTTCACATTTGTTTTTAAATTTAACCTACACAACAGCCTTGGTATTTGTCATCTCATTCAATAAAAATGTCTGAAGTGCTTATGAACTACTTGGTGTTGTTCTAGTGCTAGGGGCACAGGAGAGAGAAAATTTACATGTGGGTCCTGCTCCCATGAAGCTTTTGGTCCAGCAGGGAGATGGATGTTAATGAAACAGTTACATGAGTCTATTCATAATCAACAAACTAGAGTAGGTCCTCTGAAGTAAAGCAACCCAGTTCTTGAAGAGCTGTGATCGGCTGAGGGTCAGGGATGGCTTCTCAGCTTGAGCTAAGAGTTCAGGGCTACAATTAACAAGAAATGGGGCTGAGGGAAGAGAGGAGCATCTCCAAAGACTGTGGTTGGAGGGACAATACTGAGAAACCAAACAAGGCCTGTGTGGCTGGAGGCCAGGCAGGAAGTCAGGCAGGGGCCAGAATATGCAGGGCTTGGTAGGCGATGGGAAGCCATAGGGAGGTGCTAAATGCAAGTGTGTTTGAGGGGCTGAGGTGGTAACATGATTATGTTATTAAAATTATTTTGACTACAATATGGAGAACCAACTCTGTATCTGACGGATGAGGAAACAGGCTTGAGGGCTGAGAAAAAGAACTCATGCTTATAGAGTCCATATTGTTGATTTACCCTATGTACAAATGTGTCACTATATATGACATGCTTAGATCATGTCTTGGACACAGTACGTACTGTACAGTGAAGGCTGATTATCATCATCATCATCATCACCCTGTATCATATAAATGTGAGTGTATTTCTTTGTAACCACCCACTGGAGTATGATTACCCATGTATTACAAATGGAAAACTGAGGCACAGAGAGGGTAAATAACTGCTGAACATCACTCAGGTGGTATGTGGCAGAACTAGGATTCAAAGCCTGTAATCTTCCTGTGTTGAAAAAAAAATGTCAAGACAAAACTGAGAGGACAACTCAAGTCTTTTAAGTAGGATGTTCCACCCCCTAAGAAACCCAGGAATTGTGGAAGCTCTTAAAATTATTCTAAAATTACTTTTAAGATTGTTTGAGTCATTCGTACTTATTTAATTTTCACAGGGATATATGCAAATCATTCTCTACTTCTTCAATTAAATAAAATATGAAGTTCACAGCCATAACTTTTCCAGCATAGACTACACAGTGACAAGATTGCTAATAACATGAAAAGAAAAATGCAAACTCAGATTCATTCTGACATATTTTCCTCCTCAGACAAACTCTAAATAAGTGTAACTAGTTTCTAGTGACACTGTGATGTATTTGAGAAAATGACTCATTGCTAAAGATAGTGTAATAAATAAAGAAAACAGCCATCTAAGAAAATGCATGGGGCATGGGACTCAAAAACAGGTAGCCTCTATCAGAGGAGCTCTATGGAGAACTTTTATCATATTTAATTCTCAGCATCCTGGGAGTAGGTCTTTTTATTTCCATTTTATGGATAAAATTGGGCAGAGCCATTACATGACTTGGCCCTGCTTGCCTGGTATTTAACTCATGCCTTTCCACTATGCCCAGGCCTCCTCCATGATGTCAGTGTGTGACAGATGCTATTACCCTTGCCTATGGCCTTAATTGGGTTTATAACAAATTTAAAGACATGTCCCTTCACTTCCCACTCCTAAATCTGGTGATAGTTGTTGAATCAGAGGTTGTTTGTTTTGACATGAATAAAATGGAATTTTTATTTTGATGGAATAAATCAGTTAAATATGATTGAAAAACAGTCCAAGAAAGTTCTTATTGTGGTGTTTTTGTGTCTATGAGGGATGATCTTTAGTTTGGTTAATATCCAAAATAGCAATTGAGGAGACCATGTGTTTGGGTTCTCAAAGTCTACACTGGGAGGACAGGACAGGGAACTGATCAGAAACAGCAGACAAGTTATCAAGGCAGCTCCCTACATGAGTTTAGATCTTTCGTATTTGGAAAGCTCCCCTGGAGATTTCTACCCCTGCCACCCCCCACCTTTCCCCAAGACTCATAGGGACTTACTAAGTTCCTCTCCATGGGGGAAGAGAGATCTCTCAATGGATCATTTCCTTTAGACACCAATAACATTTTTAAGGGAAATATCGGATTGAAAAAATATCTATGCAATAGCAATGTTTATGAAATACCATCTTCAGCCTCAATTTAAGGGTGATCCCAAATGTCTACTCTCTTTTCCTGGGGGTACTGATTGAAAATCACCTTCTGGTATAATAAATGCTTCTCTCACTTTATATACACAGCCCCCAACCCCAGGCTCCTGCTCTGTGGATGACAACCACGAGCTCAGTTTCGGAGGAGTGTGGCAGCCCCTCACCATCACGGGTCCTCTTCAATCCAGTACCTCTTGTAGGACAACCCCCACGGCTGAAAAACAGCCAGCCAGTTGCTTATCTTGAAACTGCTCTTTTCCCAGGGATGCGCCAGATCAAAAGAAACAGGCAAATCACATACACAAGATGCACGAGCAGCTAATGACTCTAGAAATTCTGAAACCTGCAGTGCTCAGTGCAAGGCGAGTGGCCAGAATGTGTACAAGGCACACACACACACACACACACACACACACACACACACACACACACATCATGCTAGGTTAGAAGGCAGCAGGACCAGGTACGGGGGACCGTTTGCATAAGGCTCAGTTCATCCTCACGTTAAGGCCCTAACTCCGGACCCCCGCCCCCCCTCCCCGCCAAACCACATTCCCAGCAAGTGCTGAACGTGAGCTGTGTTCTCCCTGCTCTGCAACCCAAGTACAGACTCGCAGCAAACCAATCCGACAATCGGCACTCCACAGTCGTGGAGTGAGCTAATTCTATTTTGCTAATTGCTTTCTTGGGCAGGCACCAAGTTATTAAACAGACAGTGACAAAAACAGAGAGCTTGGATAAACATACGTGGCAGTACCTACAGCAAATGTTCCCCCCTTAACATTAGTTCCAATTACTTGTTTGCATGTTAAGTAGAACAAGGGAAGCTGGCAAAATGTTTCTGATTATTTTTCTCATCAGCTGTATCAGCTTTGAGATCACCTTTGCAACATTATCCTGCTCTTCAGAGAAGACTCCCCTTTCCTCGTAAGAAGACAGAGTGATTCTAGAAGCAGATCTAAGCTGTCAGCTCCCAGCTTTTGCCAGGAACGACCGTCATCTAGTAGCTACAGAAAACGGCATCGGCAGAGCCTGTGGGAAGTCATATACCAGCCCACTTTTTCCCACCCACCCAGACACTCTCCCTCTCTGGTCTGTACCTTCCGTGTGGCAGCTGGAGGAGAGGATGGTATTCGGAGGTCTGAAGATGTAAGGCAGGTAACGAGAGAAGCATTTCATCTTCCAACAAATACAAAATAAAAAATAAAAATCTAAATAACAAACCAGTCTCCTGAATCCATCAGGATTCCGCTGGCCTTTAAAGCTGGCTACATCACCAATATGTGTATGTAGGTTCTCTCCCAGATCTGCAGAGCTGGGCAGCCCGAGGAAGGACTGGAGCTGGGTCCCATTTTGCCATCAGCGCCAGGAAGCACTGCCTTACATTTCTGCATGCAGCTCAAACTCGGGAGCCCCAAGCAAGCCGGGATATAGGCTCTTCATTGGCCGCAGCTCCTCCGAGCAGGATTTGCTGAGTAAGTCAGTCCTGCCTGTAAACACACGCGGAACTGCCCTGCCTGAAGCCTCTACCTTTCCCCGTGTGGTCAGTTTCTCTTCTAGCAATAGAAATCCAGCAGGAGCTGGGAGTCGTGAGGATAAGTGACCATCTCTTATTTAGCGGAAAGATCAGATGAAACAAAGACAGCACAGTGTTCTGCCCTGGAGAGGGGTGGCTGTTAAAAGGAGCCACCCGCAATGCCATGGGTCTCAGGAATATTAAAGTACAGTGCAATGAAATGGGTCTCTGTCCTTGCCTAATCTAGATTTAGCTCTATTTTTTTTTTAAATACGAAACCCAAACAATAGGACCATTTATCATTTAGGTGAAGCCGAAAGCTGGGTTGAGTAGCCAGTGACAGAGGGCTAACACAGACAGATTCTGTGTTCCTCTACGGCTTTTTTTTTCTTCCTGCTGACCCTCACACCGAGGAAACCACTTGGTTCTGGGTTATTTGCTGTACAAGTTTAAAGCCACAGCATAACAATAGAGACTAAACCCAAGAGAACTGACCCTTCACACACTCCAAGTACCCTGATGGCACATGGAAACATGGAAAAAGTAAGTTGATCAGGGATTACACAACTTTAACAAAACTCGCACTGAGATTGCAAATGAGAGAGAGACTCCCACTGAGATTGCAAATACGTGAGGGAGGAGGGAAGGAGGGAGGGAGGGAGGGAGAGAGAGAGAGAGAGAGAGAGAGAGAGAGAGAATATTAAAGGACATGAACCATCACTAAATGTGAGTAATTTGGATTGGGAAACAGGTTTGGTTTTGACCCATGAGGTAGTAATGACTTTGGGAATGTTACCACTGGAAGGTAAGCACAAGGCTCCCTCGGGTTTGGGATTTATAAGTGCCGTCAAAGACCCTGTTGTATATGATGAAGAGAAAGAGGCAAATGTCTTCTGTGCTGCATTTAGGGCCCCAAGGAAATGATGTAAATGTTCTGTAAAAGAAAACCAATATTCCCTGGAGTGGGATTTTTAAAAATAAGATTTAATTAAAAAGTGTGTCTTGAAATCTTAATAATTTGTAAGTCTTTATGGTATCTGCTCTTTACAAAAATACTTGCCAGTATCGCAGACATGTGTTGGTCTGCCTAAGAGAGCAAGAACTTACAGCCATATAAATTAACTCTTCCACCAATACTCTCTCTCTCTCTCTCTCTCTCTCTCTCTCTCTCTCTCACTTCTGGACCATTGGGATATGATGACAACTGCTGGTAAGGAGAGGGCATTTAGCCCATTGATAATCCTATAACTCATCACTTCCATAGATCCAAAGACCTAGCAAGGGTGGGTCATCCCAAATAAGGTGCTGTTTAAATAATGCCTACATGGTCTGCTTGGTTGTGTAAACTCAAACTCATGACAGAAGAGCACAACCGGAGGTGTTTTCTGAGAGATGCTGAATGGTCAACCTCTGATCAGCAATCAAAGTAGGAGTGAGGGCTTCTGGGTCAATCTGACCCAAGTTTGAATCCCAATGCATTTGGTTATCAGTTGGGTAGATATGAACAAAACTTTAAAACCTGTGAGCCTCAGTTTCTGCATCTATAAAATGGGAACAACAACAAGGTTTTCCTCATGTTCTCTTGGGTAAAGTGAGACAATAAGCACATGGAGCATCTGACACATTGCACACACCTGATAAACTGTCACCACTAATGTTGCTCTTACTCTGTTGGCCTTCTCTGAGCTATGGCCATACATCAACTTCAGTGCAGGAAAGAGAAGGTGTGGTTAAGAGGGTGGTGCTACAATTAGCCAGGGGGTAAGCCTGCCTTTCATATTGACTTACTGTGTAACCTTGGGCAACTTACTTACCATCTCTAAGCCTCATTACATCTCTAATAAAAATAATAATAGAATCTTACACCATATTTTGAGGGGAAAATAAGATGGTTCATATGAAGGGTTTAGCACAGTACCTAGCATAATGTAAGTGCTTTCTTTAATTGTTATTGTCTGGAACAGTAATATCAGCCCTTAGTCACAGTATCTAATTGCATTTACTCACCTATCTTGTCCAAATAATGAAATTGTAAACTTCTTGGGAGTGTCATCAATGTTTAAATCCATCTTTGTACCCCAAGTGCCTCCCCCAGAACCTGGCACAAATTAGGTACTCAATCAATATTGGTTGAATGAGTAAGTGATTGAATGAGTGAATGAATAGAATATATGGGAGACAGCATCTGATAGATGCTTTGTACTTTTGTGGACGTCCTTTTCAGCAAAAATAATATATCATTCAAGCAAAGATATGGAACTCATGAATAGACATTCTTCAACTTTGCATATTTCAGTCCTAGATGACCAATAGGCATTTAGTAAATATCTTCTGAGTCAATGGTAGGCACGTAATAAATACTTCCTGAGGGGAAAAAAAATCACTGATGCTCCTGCCCAAAATTATCTTCAAAGAACTCAGGAAAAAAAATCCCCAAATCCTAAAAACAAAACAAAACAAAAAAGCCTTTCTCCTCCACTAGAGAGTAAAGAACAATGGGACTAGCACCCAATTTCCAAAGGGCCACTCCAAACCAGCCAGTACTTCTTGACCTCAATGAAAACATCTTCTCCAATCCCAACTTAAAATGACAGAGTTAGTGCCAGGCCTAAGTACCCATCTACCTGGATGCAGAATGGGCAAGGGGCAAAAAAAACAAATGTGAAATCTCCTCGGACAGGCGATTCTGGTGCAAATGGGCTGCCCTGCCCCGTTTTTACTGTTTCAGTGTGCTTCTGCATCTTTTTCACTGCGATTCTCTGAACAACCCCATTTTACAGAAGAGAAAATGGGCTAAGAGGATATGATCATTTATCCCAAGACAAACAGCCCACAGAGGAGGTCCAGTGTTTTTGCAGACTCAGCTGATGAGCTTGTAAAGAATGCAGGTTCAAAAACAGATCCAGAGACAGAAGCATCGATCAGACCATCAAACCTCAGAGGGAAGGTAAGGGAGGGTGGGGGTAAGGGGGAGAGATCAACCAAAGGACTTGTATGCATGCATATAAGCCTAAGCAATGGACACAGACAACAGGGAGGTGGGGGCATGAGGGGGGGAATGGGGGGATAAGGACACATATGTAATACCTTAATCAATAAAGAAAAAAAAAGAATGCAGGTTCATGGCCTTCTCTGGGATAGACAAGGAATCTGCATATTTAACAACCCACGTGATTGCACTTTATAGTTAGAGAATCTCTTGGGGGAGGTATTTAATGTCATGCTTTGGCTTGAAGTGTCAGGGTAACAGAGTTTTCCAAATATCCTTGTCCTAAATCGTTTGCCTCACCACTTGTGTCCACCCATTTGTAGCCACCCTGATGTTATATTAGGCATTAGGCTAAGTGACGGGGTCAGAGGATATCAGACCTCCTCCCTGCTCTAAATGAGTGCAGACTCCAGAAAACAGAAGGACTAATGAACTATTTAACACAGCATCAGAGGGTCTGGGCGGCAGGAAGAGATTCTGAAGATTCAGAGCCCCCAAAAGGTCATTGCCAGAGAGCCCCGCTTTTGCATTAGGTATTACTTACAAAAAGCTCCTGTTAGAAGGCAATTATCCTACAGGGAGGTATAGCAAATGAACAGTTAGCAGTCATTACCCCATACTGAAATTAGACTCTCATATACCTAATGCCATCCCAGATAGGAGCCAGGCCACCAGGGAGGCAGGTTCTTTCTAAGGAGAAAGGAGGCTCCCAGGCAATGGCATGAGGGTCTGGAGAGAGGCCCGAGAACAGAACCAGGCCTCTGAAAGGGAAACCAGAAGCCTAGGAGGAGGGAGAGATAAAGGTGACCCACTTTAGGTGCCATGCGAGAAGGGCCCTCGAGTCTGCAGGGTGGAGCCCAGAGACAAAAATTTCCCAGATGACTTCCACATGCCGGGTTCTGACATCAAATGGAAAAAAAAAAAAAAGGAAGATCCTTGAGCACTGCACTATGGACCCAGCTGTTCCAAGCTTTTCTGTAGACTGATCTCCTGGGAGATCACAAGCAATCACTTCTGTCCTTCAAAGTCCCATCTGGAGCCCTTGCCCCAGGCCACAGGCATCACTGTCTTCCAACAGCTCCTCCCACTGGTGCCAGCCATTCCTGCTGCTTGCTCTCACCCAAGTCTGGTTCTTATGAGAAAGTTACTCTGATCAGTTCCCTTCTGCCACGTTCTCACAACCCCCTTTGGGGAAGTTTCATCATCAGTTTTTCATTTTGTTAAGAAGGCAACTAAATCCCAGGGGGGAAAACTGTAGCTTATTTAAAATCAGTCAGGATGAGCCTGCCCAGGCTTCACTCTCATCAAAGCAAAGCAAATTTTTATTCATTTTCAAGTCTTAAATAAAATCTCACATCTTCAGGGAGGAGTTTCTGTCTTTAAAATTTAAATCATTTTTTACTTTTCAATTACAGTTGACACAATATTAGTTTCAGATGTACACCCAGTGATTAGACATTATATAACTTACTAAGTGATCATCCCGATAAATCTCGCCCCCATCTGACACATACCTAGTTATTAAAATATTATTGACTATATTCTCTTGCTCTATTTTACATCCCCATGACTATTCTGTAACAACCAATGCGTACTTCTGAATCCCTTAATGCCTCAGGATATGGGTCATATCCCCCTGCTACAAACTCTCAAACACCATCCTCCCCTTTCAAAACACTCATTCATTATTAAATCTATTTATTGAGCATCTACTTATGCCAGGCACTAAGCAATCCATATACAAAAATATAAAAGAAATACATGGTGCTAAGCAATACATAGTAAAACAGGTAGATACATAAATACCCATCTTCTTCTTTGGGTACAGTGATCATTCTTAACAGATAGGGCTGTGGTGAGGAATAAATAAAACGCTTAGAATTCTGTGTGACATAAGTACTATTCAAATACTTTGCTAATTGCTGGTAAGAATATAACTCCCACGCGGGACTCCAAGTGGCAGGAGGGCAGAACTTTGATTTTTCTCTGCTGACTCCTGAGTGTGAGGCTCACTGCCTGGTGCACAATAGGAATCAATAACTCTGTGCCGGGTTGAATTGAGTTGAACTGAACAGA